CGTAGTTAACTGTAGGGACTATTTCTTCCCCTAGGGATCTCAACATTTTCACTTAAATTTCCCATGGCAGACCTTACTAATTCTTCATGGCTTTGTGTCCATGCAAATCTTAGGCACATATGCATGCCTTTCTCAACAAATTCAAGTCTTTGTGAACCAAATTTTTTAGACAACTACTATCAAATGATTGCTAAAATATACTTACTTGCCTTCTGGACCCTAAACTGTATATGATATTTATAATTTGTTAATTTAGAAAGTCTGTTGAGTGCTTTCTACATATTTTGCATGCAGTTATCCTAAACAAATGTGTTTTTAATCCCAATATGAAAACCATAGTGTTGTATAGGAAACTACCGTGATGGAATGGTACCTTCAAAGTATATTACCAGGTATCCCAGAGTTCTTGAAAGAGAAAATCTCAGAGAACAACTTAAGATGTTCAAATAGCATAATTTACTAATCAACTTCAAATGCACAGTGAGAAGTAAGCGCAAAAAGAAGGAGTAGGTTTACAAACTTAGGACAAGTTACAAAGCAAGGTGGAAATTCTACTGTATCTGTATCCTGAAGTATATAATATTCCGATGTTCTTCTCTCTCTCTCTCTCATCAGCCTTCTCTTTTAATGGTGAGGTTATGAAGATCAGATTTGGGGTTTGAGCAAGGAAGTTCAAATTATGAAAGATGCTTGCTATCAAAACTGTTGTGAACCCCCCCCACTTGTGTTAGAGAGACACAGGGGCAAGTATACCTGGCCACAAATGGAGAAACCAGTGACCTGCTGAACAGCCATGTTTGTTTTCTGGATGTTGCCAGCATAAGTGGGATACCTCTATGACCCATATAAATGTAGCATATTATGAGCATTAGTAGCTCTTGTATACTCGATGAGTTCATCCCTTCCTAATTTCACAAGGATGCTCCACTTCATAGCTAACATGTTATGCTAGCTCTTTTCTTTCATACTTAGTTTCACTTGTCCTTGTTGTTTGTTTCCTTTATTATCAGGATGAATGTTCTGAAGTAATAAGGAAACCACAAATAATACAGCAAAGTAACATATTCCAGGAGGAGGCAGTTTACAGGAGAAAGTTCTGAATCCAAGTGACCACACTGTCCACTTGGGGCTACTCCAGTGAGGCCCCTGTAACTGACTCATACTTTGACTCAGGAAGCTGAGTGTTTGCTTTTCATGGGGATAAAGTAGAAAGGCAAAGGGGAATTAATTAAGGGAAACTTCTAAATTGTTAGCATAGTTATAGCTTCACAAGTGTATAAGACTGTTGTTTTTAAGATATGTGTAAGGAAATAGTCAACATTAACATGTTGATATTTCAAACAGATTCTAGAAAAAGGAAAGTTTTCAGAGTCTGGCTCCCTAGTCTATATCCAGAAATAAAGACAATTAAGCCTTTCTTACCACATGTATTGCTATTCTAAGATGATTCCACAGAAATATCCAATGATTAAATTCTTAAATTCTTAGGAAGCGAAGTATGCAAAAGTACCCCGCACCCGCTTCAGACCCTTCTCTGTTATGTAGACCCAGCTTTCCTCAAAGGCCATACGTAATCCTCAACTGTATCAACTGAAAATAGAATTAGGGCAGAATCATAGCTGGAAGCTTGGCACTTTGTGCCTAGACAATTCCAAGTTCAACTTTCCTCCAGAGCAGCCTCATTCACTTACAGAATTGGGCAGACTTTCTGCATCATGAACTAACTCTTTATAGTCTTCTTTTCCTTGCCTCCTCCTTTTCTCCTGTTCATTACTCCAGTGCAGACAAGCAGCAAGAAAGCAATCAGACTTAGGTTTTCATCCATAGTAAAACTCTGTAGTTATTATTTCATCATAATTCATTTAAAATGTAAGACTACTGGATCTTGAAGAGTCTTTATACTCAGATGGTTAATTTCTACTTCAGATAAATTCTAGACAATATCTCCAATTTTAGTATTTCTTACCTGTCCTTATTTCCTACTTTGCATACAGTAAATATGAATATTTATCATGAATATTGTTCAGTTGATCAAATAACACAATTTTAGCCAATCCAGGGAGTATAAAGTTGCTACCGTTTTGCATTCTACTATTCCATATACATTAGCTTTATTGATATCTGAGAATATCATTGCTATTTACAAGCTCAACAGGGAAAATGACAAAACTTAGTGAAATTCTTAGAGCAACATTTTCAAATTTAATAAATTTCCTCTCGGTATTCTTATACAACCTTGATCTCTAATATCCTTCTGTTGATAAATAAAAGTAATGCCAGAAACAGGGCAAACAAAACTGTTACAGCTGCTAGTCAAACTTCAATATGATTTAAATCAGGAGTTTGGAAAATTTCATGTGTCTATGAATCACTTAAAGATCCTGTTAAACTAAGGATTCTAATTCGGTAGTTCTGAGGTAAGGCCTCAGATTCTGCAATCTTAACAAGTTCCCAGGAGATGCAGGGATTATTCTTCCAGATTTCACTTAAATAAAAAAGGAAGATTTACACACATGTTCATTTGTCCTACTGATGTCACATGAAGTCCCTTTCACAAATATGTAGAATGGACTATTTGCAGTTTGTAGACATAAAGTATTGATATCTGAGGATAGTTGGGTAAAGAAAACAGGAATGATATGTAAAGAAGTTATGAGTAGATAATAATAGCTAATATAAATTCTAGTAGTGATATAAAACATGGAAGTCCAATACATTGAGAAATAAAAGACAAATCTTCTTTTCTAGCAGAAGTGTTTATTTTCACAAATATTTAAAACACAGCTACTTTTGAGCCATAAAAGGAAAAAGTACAATGTTTGTATACTTGGTACAAATTTAAACTTAACTCATTTTTAGATGCTCTCACTACTGTGAATCAGTGTCCCACTTTCACCACAGTAAATACGTGCCTGCACACACAAACTTCTGAACTCTAAGTTTTCATCTAAAAATCTCCCATTCTTTAATGAATTATTTTTCCTACTGTATGTTTTTAATATAATCTTTCATATCTTTGTGTATCAATTGTTTTTCCTTTTCCATACGTTTTAGAGAATTTGAGAAAGGACATTCTGAGGAATCAGTAAGATTGTAATATACATGTATTTAGTTACATAATAATAAAGACAAATATAGGCCAAAATTATTCTGATAACTAAAGGTCATTACATCATTGCTATATGAAGATGTTGAAATTTCAGGCATAACATGTCATGATTACATCATTACAGGCACAATATACAGGAGATCGCTCTGTACATGATTACTCATCCAGTTTCTTTTTTAAGAGTTCAATTTTACATAGCTCAGCCCTCCATTTCTCAAGAATTGAAGATCTTTCCTTTATATTTCTTTTAGATGGACGCATCTATAAATGTTCTGTATTTCCTGTTTAAAAGCCTGTTTTCCCACTAGGATCTGTTTTTGTTCTTGTATTTTTTACTTTTCAGTGGATAATCACTTTTCTCAATTATATAAGTGGCCTTGTAAATATCTTTAAGCATAACTTGCTATTGGGCAGGTACTAAAGGTAGTGAGGTATTTCCTTTATTTCTTGAGATCTGAATGTGTTAGGTGATCATGTTGAAAACATTCTGTCCAAAAAAATTATAGACAAAATTATTCCATCTCCTTTTCAGAAAATAAATAGTGGCAGAAATAATCAGAACAGAAAATTAGGTTGTCTCCCCAGATACAAACTAACAGTCTTACCAGAAAAAAGGTATTATTTATCCCCCAATTCTACCTTATTTTTTTAAATCATCAATTTAATTGACTTATATTTTCATAATGAACAATTTTGCTTCTATCAATATTTGATTTCATGGCATGTATCCAGAAGGGAGACTGTATTAGGGATAAAATGGTACGATTCATTCATCTAAAATGTTAACTGTGATACTGGCACATAGTGAAAGCTCAATGTAGGTTAGTTACTAGCGTCAGTGACAGATTCTAAATTTCTACACAAAACAGCTTAAGGTCACCAGTCTGGATGTAGAAAAGAGTTGTTTTGAACTTGTGATATTTATAGCAAGCATACTTTTTATTTATGTTGAGTATTTTGTTTTTTTGAGAGTCTGGGAAGGAAGTATTGGTGGAAATGATGGAGAAAGTGAAAAAATTTTCCCATAAGCCACGCAAATGTCATCCGTGGTAACAAAAGAAATGCCTTTATTTAGAGGCGGGAAGTTCAGATATTCATTTCTGTTTATTAATGGGGGGAGGAGCAATACTACTATGTAAAGCACAGAGGCCTGAACTCCTTTTATGATTTTGCCAGAACTCTTAAATATTGTCATGTTTATCTTTTTTTCCCCTCAAAACTCTGAGTGATTCTGTTTTACTGTGTTGAACACGATTTCTCTCTATTTATTTGTACCAACATATTTAAATTTTAGGTCAAGTCTTTTAATGTTTAGCAGGTGTTCACATTAAAATCTAAGGTATACATCATGGATTTGGAAAATGTATGGCCCGCATATCTACAAGCAGCCATACTGTTTTAGAATTCATTTTCACTTCACTGTTTCTCACATAGCATGTTTTTCTTTTATGTTTTTAGGTCTCACCATTAATTTGTAACTGGCTTAATTGCCCTTTTTAACTTCGATCTCTTCACATATTAATGGTATTTAATTTTGTATAATCTTTCCTGGTCAATGATGTATTAAATTTTCTGACTTTTAAATAATTAACTAGCTATAGAAGTGAGAAGAGAATAAGTTAGAATTTGAGATAAAAGTAATTGTGCTACTTGGAAATGATCATAATTAAATCTTTTATCTTATAATGCCCAGAATTAAAAATCCAATTTAGTGATCTGCTTGACATTCAAAATTTAGGTCTTGCTTGCTCATTCAAAATTGATTGACTAAATTATGTCCAGAAATATTTATGGCCTAATGTAAAATGCGTGTTAGATGAAATGATACAAGTAATATATAAATTCATGTTACTTAAGCAATACATATGTATATATGGACACACACATTTACTTACATAGTTAATGTGTATAGAAAATATGAAATCATAAAAACAGCAAACATCACCACACCAACAATGAGTAAGATGATTCCTAAATGGCGAAAGAAGTTCTTTCTGTCAGTCACTTGATCTTTGAACAGTCTTGCCGCCCTATCACTAATGGTACCAGTCTGTAAAATTAGCATTATTTGGGTAGATTAGTGAAGAAAATACTCTAACTCTCCTATCATACACATATATGTATATATATGTGTATATATATATATACACACACACAGTAATATATATTGTATACACACAGTAGTATATATACATATAATCTTTAACCCTATATAGGTCTTAGTCATCTGTATCTTTAAGACAAGTCAATGGGCCAAGGGGATTACCTATGCATGTCAAAGGCGCAATAAGTGACAAGCATTCAGAGAGTGAAAGATGACCCCTCTCCCTTTAAACATGCTGTATCAGAACTCTTTATTGTACTAGGACTAAATTGATCTTCAGAACTGTCTTCAAACTATTGCCCAATTATCCAGAAGATGTTTCCCAGTGACAGAGGGAAAAAGCAAAGATCAACAGTTTCATTCGCTCTAAAGACTCATTCAACACGTTTGCTCTTCCTATGGATAATCAATGCAGTGGTTTACACTAAAAATACTCTGTCAGGAAATAGGAGAGACTTCTCAGCTTACTCTAACCTGGTCTTATAGCAGAGTTGGCTTTTATCAGTGCTATAATATTCGGTGAGTCTTGATTTACTTGTATGCAAGTGCCTCCTCTCTAAGGCAAACATGATGACATGTAAACGTATTTGCTAGATCCATTTTGAAGATAATACTACATGATAGGAAGCATTTATAAGAAAGAAAAACTGAAAACACAGTCATATTTCTAAATAACTAGGTTCTTTCAAGGAGCTGTAAACTTATCTATACATACAACTTCAAATGCACATGCTTTAGAAATATTAAAAGCTTTATTATTTACAAGGAAGTTTTTTGAGTGACTAGATTAAAATACTAACCTCATTAAACCAGAGAATAGGCACAATATATTTCTTCTTCAGATGCTTTAGTGCTCTGTAATATACATCAAAAATTATGAGAGTATAAGCTCATATTATAATGTTTATGATATACATAAATATAATTACTAGAATAAACGAATGTTCAGAATTGGTGCATTCTTTGATTCTGGGACCTGTCATGAATTGTTCAAAGTTCAGCATAACTGTTCTCAGACTTCTTTTATGCTTAATAAATCCTTCAAATCCAGATTCTTAATTATACTTACCATTTTCCAAGCACAGAAATTCATAGTTACAGAAAATATGTAGACGCCTAAATAAATAAGATGTGCTTGGAAAATGCTAATGAAAACCATTTCAAAATATCTGTGAATAATATTTCAATAAACAAAACATTACATATTAAAGGTGAAAGTTGTCATGAGCATTTAGTGATCATAGTTTAGTGATGTTATGCTTAAAAAGCTGAAATTTGATATTCTTTTCTCCTTTGTAGACTTACACTCTTACAAGAAAATAATAGACATGTTGTATAACAATAACCTTTTTTAAGAAACTCACTGAATTCTTTCTTCTGGCTTGACCAACATGTTGACCTGTAGCCGTTTAGCAAATCGTAAAGTGAATCCAGTTATCTAAAAAGAGAACAACTAAAATAATTACCAGCTTATTTTTAAAATATTATTTTAAAATTATACTAAAACTTGTTACAGCAGAAGAGAAAAATATAGAACTTAAAGTAAAACAGGATACTTGTATAATGTGTAAAAGTTAATTGACTAGACCTATTAACTAGATCTCATACATAACTGTATAGAGTTACATTATATGTGTGCATACATAGACCTAAGCACACACACAGTTCTTTAGCCCAACTTAATATTGTCATTTTATATTTGTGATTTATGTAAAATGGCTTTAATGAAATAACAACACATACAAAATGTAAGCGCTCGGGTACTTCATTTAATTTCTGAACCATCCATGGACAAACGTATATTCATTCAGAATACATATATCCTTAGTTATAATACCATTAACTATCATTTAACCTGAAACATGTCCAAAATTCTGGAATTATATTTAACTTTTGAAAAGAAAAATAAAAAAACAAGGGTGGCACCTGTGGTTCAAAGGAGTAGGGTGCCAGCCGCATATGCCGGAGGTGGCAGGTCAAACCTAGCCCTGGCCCCCCCCCAAAAAAAAATAGAAAAACAATTTAAAAAATATATTATTATGTTGTAACAATTCTACATATTTTTTAATATAAAGTAAAATAAATAATGCCCTAATTTCTTATAAAATCTTTAATTCCACATAATATACAATGACTCCTTATATAAGCAATATCTGTTGTTAAGTAGAAGCACAGAATTGTAATTTATATAAGGTTTAAAGCCAATTAGAATTATTTTTATCATTTATTAAAAAAGTTTACAGAATTCCATATGTTGGAATTAAAATTTAATTTTCTTTGCATTTCATAAACAACACTCATAAGAAGATGAATGTAGTTATTTTCTGACGCAAAACCTGATTCAATAAGTGTGGGCAATAAGCATGACTAATGAGATTTTTTTCATTCAATATTATTTCTAAAAAAAATGTCAACCAAAGCAGATCGATAATATATTTGCTTACCGGTTCAACATCCAAGTATGTCCCATGTTCTTCCTCATTTGGGTTTAAGCCTTCAATCGGTTCTGAAACATCAGGACTCGCGTGTAGAAAATGAGGGAGTGAAATGTACACGGGTTTTCCTGCAGACGAGTTTTAAGAGTCACCTGGGTGTAAATAACTTCCCTCTTTTCACATTTTACTCAAAAACATTCCCTTGCAAAGAAATATTTTTAAGTAAAAAGATACAACACTGGCTTTGAAAAATATGAGAGATAAGGGTGGGAAAGAAGGAGAAAATCATTACCTCAGGTCGCTATTGTACAAAATTAAAATTTTGCATACTCCTAACAAGTTTGTTTTTCGTCTGTCGTATATCCCTTAGGTGTCAACTTTCAACATGTAAAATTTAGCTGCTAAACATAAAGTTTTAACTAAATGTGTTCATGTTTCAAGTAGTAATATTTCTACAGACTAAGAATGTGTTAGAGTTTTCATCAACACCCCCCTAAGCATGATTAATATAAGCAGGATAAAACAGACTCCAATTTTTGGACATTAAGTTACTTCTTGTTGTAGAGACAGAGTGAAAATATTTAGTCTTCCTAGGGAAAAAGATGAATGACAAATGAGTAACTTGAGACACTCGCAGTGTTTTAGAAATTATTTTCATTTTATTCTGACTCTACAACCAGCACTGGGAAATACCGATGTGGTTTTACCTGATAACTAAATTTTGTAACACTTAAAACACTACAAACTTAACACAGGTTTTTGGCCACTGCCCTTATCTTTTTCTCTGACTTTACTTTAAAGTTTAGATGCTGGGTAAAGTTCCCATTTTAAAGAATGTTGCAAATCATGTCATGGACTGTGAACTGAGAATATTTACTCACCTTCTTTGCATTTGCTGAGGTCTAGCACACCATACGATGTACAGTTTTTAGAGATAATTTTTTCTGTGCAGAAACAATGGTTGTCTGGATTTTGAAGAGGGGATGCAAAGGCCTTGGCTGGAAGAACAAATCTATACACAGGGATTCCTTTCAGATTAACGTCGGCTTCAAATACAACATAGATTGACCTAGACACAGACAAAACATAAAAGAGCTGCCTTTCAGGAGCCTGAACTAGATGCTGAGGATTTTTTTCCTCCATATTCTTTCTTTAACATAGAAAATTTGGGTACTGCAGTTAGAATTTTTTAAATCCTTGTTTTATTCACAGCCAAAAAAATATTGGGAAATTTAAATACACACCAGAGCTTATACCTGATTAAGAACTATTTTTACCTTTGCTCCCGAAAGTTTCTAAGTTTATGACCTCTCTTATGAATATTTATACAGAAGTCACATCTTTGGTCAATTTCTGCTACAGGTTAAATATTTCTGACTGTCCCCATATGCTTTGTGCCTAGATTTAATGAAATAAAACTTTCTGTCTTTGATGACTTAAGCCTGAAATGAAAGGCTGTGCCTTTGCTGAGGTCGGTGAGTGCCTGACACATTGTTTGTTCCCCTCTGTCACCTCCCAAGTCTCCACCATAACCCAGGCAATGTCCTAGGGCCTAGTACACATTTCTTCTAATCCCTGGGTGTTCATATAAGTGGAAATGCTGCATTCTGCAGTTTTCTACATTAGGAAAAGATTCAGGGAGATTAAATGCTGGCCCCCAGTCACAGTCCTCAGTGATAGCGCTGGGTCTCTGGTGTAGTGACAAAGGCTCTAATAATTTTGAGGTAGCTGTTGGGCTCCCTGCCTCCAATTTGATTAGAGCATGTCAATTTTCACAATCCTGTGACATTTCCATGATCTTTTCTGGACATCTTTAGAAAGACTGGGCATGCCCTTGTAGACTTAAACAGACTACTTGTAAAAGAAGGGTAAAACTAGCTCCTGTTCAGAAATGACAAAGAAAATGATTTACTTTATTAAAAACATTAAAGGATGCAGAAAATGGTTTGCAAAAAGTAAGTAAACATTATGAAATCTGTATTATTGTGTTTATTCTTAAGAAATCCAGAAATTTTCCTAACTAGCACCAGGAGGAAGAAAGATCAGAATCATAGACATACCTCAATGTCTTTGTCTTACCTGCAAATATCAGCGGAAAAGATGTACAATACCCTGGTCTTCTCAAGAAAAGGTGGAAATGAGGTTCCATCTGTTGAAAATTCAAACCAGCAGCAAGTGATTAGAGGTGTAGTCTAGAAATAAATCTAGAAATGTCTATTTCAATATGGTCAATAGAAAAAAAATTTAAACCACCTAAATAACTTAAAATTTACTTGGTAGTCACATTTGAAAAGTAATAACTCATTTAATCTAATACTTCTATACTTACAAAACATTTTTTAAAATTTCAGATTAACATGAGGGTAAAAATGTTCAGGTTACATTGTTTTCGTTTCTAAGGTCAAGTTCAGCAATAGCTGAGCCCTTCCCTCAGGGGGCAGGCTGAACACTCTCACCTTATGCACACTAGGTGAGATTCACCCTTCTCCCTCTTTCCTCCCCCACCCATCTTCCATGTCTTCTCTCCTCCCTGGACTATACGTGTGTGCTTTATTTTGTGTGGGTCCGTAGTTGTTTATAAATTGGTTTCCTATTAGTATGAGTACATTGGATATATGTTTTTTCCATTCTTGAAATATTTTACTAAGAAGAATGTGTTTCAACTATATCCAGATAAACACAAAAGATGTAAAGTCTCCATCTCCATCTTTTCCTATGGCTGAATAGTACTCCATGGTCTACATATATCACAGCTAAAACATAATTTCAACATACAAGTAATACAAATATTAGGATATTGTACATTCTCAAAATCTAGTGTGCATTTTAGACTTACAGCACATTTCAGTTCCTAACAGCCACATATCAAGCGCTTTACAGCCACATGTGTTTAGTAGCTACCATATTCCACAGCCTCATGCCCTACGCACATTCCCTAGTATACAAAGAACTTCTAAAGAGTCAATATTAAAGCTGTAACTGTGTTTCTGAAATGCCCTACCCCATGAGTACCACAGAGTTCATTTTGAACCCCTGCCATATCCACATTGTTTTTATTTTTATCTGACCTAAAAAGTGATTAATATTTATAAAACTGTTTAAGCTTGCCCACTAATTTCCTGAAGATGTTTTGAAAACACAAATTTCTAAGTGTCATTTATTGACTTCTACTATAGCTATAATCCTGGATACACATTGGATATGTTAAAAAAATAACCAGTTAACTCCTCAAATGAATATCACCAATTGATAATATGCAAATATTTTTATGAGCTACTACTGAATGTGCTTGTTTAAAATGGCATATTCTAGGTTCTTTTTCTTGTGTGTCTACTTTGTGACCCTATCATCATTCACACTCTTGTAAGAAGTGAAATAGAACATGACATCTGTGGTTTTGTTCCCTGATTGATTCTGCTATTGAGATAGTTGGAAAATCCTCTACATAAGTCCTTGTATAAGCAGTTGTCTTTCAAGTACCTTAGCAATTAAAACCACCTTGAAAAACTTAAAAAAAATCATTATCAGGTCATCGAACACTATGTCATAATTATACCAAGAAATTAGCATGGGCAATGATCACAGGAGAACTTCTGCCTACCCCAAAAGCCACATTCTAAATGCATATCAATACTTTTCATTTTAATGTCTTTGCAAATTTATTAAAGGTATAAGATATACTTCTGAATCATGATGAACATACACTAGAATCATTCATTACTCTTTTTTCTAGTCCTATCACTAAGATTCTCTGACAGGAAATATCCTCTGTCCTGGTGGTTTTTTTTTTTTTTTGCAGTTTTTGGCTGGGGCTGGGTTTGAACCCGCCACCTCCGGCATATGGAGCCAGCGTCCTACTCCTTTGAGCCACAGGCACCACCCTCTCTGTCCTGTTCTACTTCCATCTGCACCTGGCTTGTATTATTTCTATTTTCTTCTTAAATATTTTTAAGTTCATGCTTCATGCATAAGTATTTATACTGTTATTAATTAAGCTAAGCCTCTTTTTAAATCTATCTGCTTCCCTACTTTGGGTAAAATTGTTTAATGCTTTTCTTTTCCCCCTTAACCCCAGAGAATCCTTTACCGTTTGGGAGCAACACAGCATTTTTCACCCCTAGTTTATCTAAGAACTAAGTATTTTATATTTATGGAGCTACTAGTGTTAGTAATGCTGAGGACTTGAAAATTAATTTCCAGAAATGCTTTACTTAGAAAGGAATTTCTTCACTCCCCACCCGAACGAAGCTCAAAACCCTGCAAAGCAAACTCAACAGTGCTTTTGCTGTTTATTTTTTTTTCTACAAGACTGTTAGAATTAGATAAGAATACACAAAGCAATCATATCTTTGGAAAAGCAAACATTCTCGGGGATTCTGGGAAGATGGCCGACTGGTAGCAACCCTGGTCAGAGGCTCCTGAACAAAGGAAGAAAAACTGGTTGGAATCAGAATCTATGAAGTCAAAGACAGGGAGCTGAGCCCAGAAAGAAGTTCGGCAAGCTATAAATCCAAGGAAGATCATTTAAGAACA